TAACTAGATCATGTATTTTTTATTAGTTAATTATTATTAAAAACTTACCTACATTGCTAACCAAAATAATTTATATTTAAAGTAGCATTGAAGCAATAGTACACATGTTTTTGCATTACAAAAGCTAATCATTTTTAATTCGTTTAGCATATGCTATTCAAATAAATAACAAACAAAATTGTAAAATTTGATTCATTATTGATAGATAATTATTTACTTTTTTTTTTTTATTTTAAAGAGTGACACTCAATTTATCAGTAGTTGTTGTAAAATTATAAAAAAAGAAATCAGATTGTATTAATAAATAATTTAGCAACGACTAATTTTCAAATAGTTATTTTACCAAATCGTACCAAACTGTTTTTAATTTGTGATGACTTGTTATTGGTTGTTTATATGACATGAACTTACTTACGATCAAGAAATATATTTGTTTATTATTAATTATTTTTTATTATATTTAATCACTTTAATAAATATTTAAAATACTAATTATTTATATTTTTTAAATAATTATAAATTCAACATATATTAGAATGATAAAAAATATGTTGATGTCTTAATGTCCTTATAAGTAAATTTATGTGTTAACAGCTAATTAAAATAGTTAGTTTTACCAAACACTTTTTACAAACCGCTAATACAATCAGCTAGTCAAAATAGCTATTGCAATCCGCTGGTCAAAACAGCTAATGCAATCAGCTAACAGCTAACAGCTAACCGCTGATTACCAAACAAGGCCAATGACTTTTATATAAGTATAGATGCCACGCATTACACCATATCCACCTATTTGCTAGCGTAGATTTTCTCTAGCAAGCCATAATTAAAAATTTATCTCTAATGATTCAACCTACATTTTACTCTACAATTATGATATCATTATCATATACAACACTGCCTCCTAAAAGATGAGTGTATTGAGACTAAGGTTCAAGAAGACAGCTCCATTGACCAGTCAAAGAGAAGTCCACGTCAACATGGTGCCATGCAATGTCAGCACTCGGTGGTCCCTTCCATGCGTGTACCCGTTGGCCTCCATGCAGGCCCATAACATCAAACCATTGGCAGCTGTGAAAGTGTATCTTGCAGTGACAAAGGATTTTTCTCTCAAGCTATCAACTTGTTCACATTTTGATATTGTGGGATTCGCAGATGTAAATTGGGCAACAGATGTTGATGACAGAAGCTCAACATCAAGATATTGCACTTTTAATGGTGGAAAACTGATATCATGGAGCTCTAAGAAGCAATCAACCATATCAAGATCCTCCACAAAAGCCGAATATAGGAGTTACACACAAGCTACTTGTGAGGTATTGTGGTTGAGTTTCTTAGTGCATGAGATTGGAATCAAACACAAGAAACGTAGTGTCATTTGGGTAGATAATCTGGGAGCAATACATCTTGCAGTCAACCCTGTGGGACTCTCTAGAACAAAACACATAGAGTTGGACTTACATTTCTTGAGGGAGAAAATTGTAAAAAAAATTATCTTTGTCCAACATGTTCCAGGTATTAATCAAATAGTCGATATATTCACAAAACCTTTAACAGGTCAATTTTATTCAAGGCATTGATCGAAATTAAAAATTCATTCCCAGCCATTGCTAGAATTGAGGGGACATACTGAAACTAAGGTTCAAGATGTCAGCTCTATTGACCAGTCAAAGAAAAGGCCACGTCAGCACTCGGTTGTCCCTTCCATGCGTGTAACCGTTGACCCCCATGCAGGCCCACAACATCAAACCATTGGTAGCTGTGAGGGTGTGTCTTGTAGTGAGAATGAAAGGTGTCACCTAGGGTTTAGCCTAGCTAATGATAGTGTGGGCAAGTGTAAGGTCTAGATAATTCTTGGAGTAGCCTATATATATTGTTTTTGTTGTAGCAGTCGTCATTATCATCTATGTAACCATGAAATACCTTTGAAGAAGTGCGGTGGGGCCAGTCACTATAAAAAGTTTACCCAACACAGTTTTACGATAAAAAAAAAAAGAAATACCTTTGAAGAAAGAAATGAACTCACTTTCATATTAGACTCCTTAGTTGACACAATTGATAATGTAGTATGATATCATATACAACAATGCCACCTAAAGATTTAGTGTTGATGTTGACACAATTGATGTAATGTAGTGTGCTCGACTCTTATCTTGAGCTTCCATAAACCGGTTTAGAATATGCTCCAGGTCAATTTGACCGGTCGAGAGATCAAGGTTACAATGAAGGTAGGATGAGCGGGTCAGGTAATGAGGAGGTCAAGCTGTTACAAGTATGGTTAGGTCAAGCTAAGAAACTAAGTTTAGTTAAGTTAGAATGTAGGATTTCACAAGGTACTCTATTTGAAGTATGAGATCCCGAGATTCAGAGAATTTATGTTTAAAGAAGATAACGAGAAATCTCCGAGAAAATAAGGTTTCTCTTTATATTAGTTAAAGCGTTGGGGAGGAAAAAAAATTACTGTCTCTCGGCTCTCTTTTCTCTCACTCTAAAAAACCAAGAAAATTAAGGGCAATCTGACTACCCCCTTCTACCGGCCGATTGTTGAGACTTTCGTGTGGGCCTCGGCTGAGTCGAGGCTGGAGGGCTCATTCTGTTGAGTCAATAGTGGAGGTTGCAGCTCCATTTCTTTGACAGCACACCAAAGAAGAAGAAAAAGGCAGCCCACAAGTCTTGAAATTGTGCAGCAGCTAGGATGCTCATTTGTTCACATTAATAGTACACAAATGTGGAAAAAAAAATGTGTTCTTCTTCTTCTATAAATAGCTAGCAATTGAGATGAACAAATACACAACCAAGAAAAACATAACAAAGAGAGAGAGAGAGAGAGAAAAGAGTAGAGAGAGTGTATTCATACGGGCTTGTGTGAGTTGTAACATTCGATTTATCCTCTTATTCTAGTTCATTCTCCTGGCTTGGTTCGCCCCCAGACGTAGGATTTAATCCGAACTGGGTTAACAAATATTCGTGTCTTTTATTGATTTCACATTAGTGTGTTATTATTCCATCTTATCCGACCTTATTTCCCAACACATTCCGCCCCTTCTGGAGCCATGCGGGAGAATTGGTCAGAGATAGCTCATGTTAACAAAGAAATCTACCTGCATCAATCATGTCTATTTCTTTCCCCCACTTGTGAACAGAAATTTACAAAGCACAAGATTATATCTGAAGATTCATATTATTAATTATCAAGTCCACTTACATATAGAAAGCGAAAAATTAAATATTAAAATCTAAGGAAGAAGTTAATTAAATATTGAAATCTAAGCAATCAATTACACGAACACCAGGTAAAAATAAATAAATATAAAACACCAAGAACAAAAAAAAAAAAAAATAAATATAATCACGATTCTTGAAGTGTCCCAGAAAGCAATTACACACCCAAACAAACAAACAAACTTTTCAAATTATCATTTTAACCTGATGATTGAACAAGAACAATATATCCTCTATAGCAGAACCGTAAAAAAATTCCAAACATAACAATTTTATCATGCTACAATTTCTTTTGATTTTTTGCCCTCATGTGGTCCTTTAAGTATCAGCTTTCCCATGACCTGCCAAAGATTACATTGTTACGATACTATTAAGACTCGAAAGGAAGAATTTGATGGCAAAAACAACGTTTCTTTTTAATACCACTCAAATCCGAACTATTGAGAGGCGCGCTTAAATTGAACCCATTATGAACAACGTTATGAAGCTCATCGTCCCACATGCTCGGTGCCTGCATATGCTGTGACATCAACAAAAAGTGTGTTACGAAAAGATAATTTTTAAACAATGTAAAATCCACCATTAGTGTGCTGTCTATAAATGATAAGAGTGTAAGATGATCCTGGGGCAAAGTTGAAAAACACACACAATTTATGGACTAAAAGTCCAACCAAAGAAAATTTTGTCAGCTAATGTACCCCAA